TTTTTTTTTTTTTTTTGGCGTTGTGTGTGAGTGGTGTAACCGAAAGAGTTGTGGAATCCAAAACCAAATGATTACGGGCGGGACATTCTTTTCATTTGAACATTCTCATCAGTCACACTCATACACACGCCGATGAAGGGTTCTTGCAATCAGATCGCCCATCGTCGACAACTCCGATCATCGTTCCCAGCCCAGTAGAGCATCCTCTTACACATTCTCACATTTTTCAGTTTTCTTTTCTACATTTGATCTAAACCGGTGCAATTTACCGGCCAAACCCACCAACATTTGCAGATCTACTTGCTTCCAACAACTTTCTCAATTTGCGAACAAATCATAGCGGTTTTCATTTCACTACCGGAATTGTTAATTGAGTTTCCAGGTACCTGGGCGTTCAATTCAGTGTCAAATTAGTCAATTTGGTATTTCAAAACCCTAGCTTTTTTTTGGTTTCTCGCAAAAATGCAGAGCTCGTCGACGAGCTCTGTCGTCCAACCAGAAGCCATATTAGAATGGCTTCAGAAGGAAATGGATTATAGACCTCTAGGTCCGTACCTTGCTTCAAGTAAGGCATCAATGCCATCATCTGATGCAATTCGCAGGGTTTGTCGTGGGAATATGATTCCTATTTTTCATTTTCTATTGAAGAGGGTTAAATCGGTGAAGACGGTAAGAGATATCCGGCGTAACATCCTCGTCCATGGCAGAGAAGACAATGCTGGTGGTCGCGGTAGTGCGGATGCTGCCAAAAATGGCGAGGTTGGGAAAGGGAGTAAAGGAGGGAGGAGGAAAGAGAAACTAAGGGGGACGGATAGTGAAAGTACGAGTGCAGGGCAGGGCAGTAACAGAGAGACAGCTCTGCAGGAGAGAGAATCAGCTGAAAAGGAGGTAGAGAGATTGAGGCATACTGTGAGACGCCAAAGGAAGGAGTTGAAGGCTCGGATGTTGGAGGTTTCACGTGAAGAGGCTGATCGCAAGCGTATGCTTGATGAAAGATCAAATTACAGGTTTGTTGATGCAGTTTTGGTTGTGTTCTCTAAGTTATCCATTTCTGCCATTTTTTTTATGTGCTACATTTGTGCATGCAATTGATCAAGGAAGGAACTTTCGGATTGCATGATAATAGAGAGAAGGGAATCACTTTCATTTTCATATGGCATGACTCATATAAATGTTACTTACTAAAAGTTAAATCTTTTATTTCTGTTTATGATATGCCATCAAGAATAGTATTACACATGACTTCTAAATCTAAGTAGACAGCTCAGGAGTCCAGGTATGGTACTACACAATAAGCAAGCTTAACCTTTGCCTGTAAAGAAACATTTTTGTTGTGGTTTTCAAACTAGTGTATATGTTGATTACTGTATAAGACATTTATCACTGGGCCAAATCTCATTCTTAGTTTAGTAAGGAAACAAAGTTTATATCATGGTGAAGTTCCACTGCCAATTGCTTTTCAGATTATTCAGAAGAAGCAGTTAGAAAGAAAAATTAGTACTCTTTATGCATCTTTTATAGAGTTTTTATTCATGTTACCGAAAGGATGGTTGAACCTGGCAGTTTAATTACAATTGCTTGCATATAAATGTGGAGTATAATACATGTTCTCATTCTTAGTGTAGGCATAAGCAGGTGGTGTTGGAAGCTTATGGTGAACAGTGTGATGTAGCAGCTAGGATATTTGTCGAGTATTGTAAGCGTCTTTGCTCCTATGTTAATCAAGTAAAAGATGCTCAGAGACTGGAGGCTGATTCTTCAATGGAACTAGTCACCAGTTCCCAAGTGGACAGTGAGAAAGGCACAGTTTATTCTACAGTGAAAGGTTCAAAACCATCAGAGGATGTAGTTCTTGTTGAGACGAGCAGGGAAAGGAATATCCGTAAGGCATGTGAATTGCTTGCATTAAAGATGATTGAAAAGATCCACAACTCTTTTCCTGCATATGAAGGAAGTGGTATCCATTTGAATCCACAACTAGAAACTGCTAAGTTAGGCATTGATGTCGACGGGGATATACCTGATGAGGTCCGAGATGTTATTCTTAATTGTCTCAGAAGTCCTTCTCAGTTACTTCTGGCTGTAACCACTTACACTCAAAGGTTGAAAGCTATGATTGCTAAAGAAATAGAGAGAACTGATGTTAGAGCTGATGCAGAAACATTAAGGTAAAATTTAATTGATGCCATCTCGACTCACGCTCATACTTCTAGTTGTAATTATTTAATAATCAATTGACTACTTTCTTTTTGCTTCTTAACTTCTTCCCACTTGCTGTACTTGTGTTGATTTTGATCTATATGATTGTTTTTATTCAATTGGCATTGAAGAATTATGTGGTGAGTTTGCAACTATATATATAGTTTTTCTGAAACTTCGTTGCTTCTACAAATTTAAGTGGTTATGATTGGTGTAAAGGTATATAGAACCAGTTTCATATACACCTATTATCTAATAATTTGGTCACTTGGTTACTTCATTGTGTCAGTAGTGTTACAGAGCAAGAACATCAGAGGTTTTATCAATGAAATCAGTTTGAATGATGTTTTGGATTCATAGTTCAAATTTTGAAGAGTGATATGTCGTTTGGCACTAGTACTGTTTTGAATATCGTACGTTTGGTCAAAAAGCCCATTCTAAAAGCGTACATGCAATGAGAAATACAAGTTTGAGGAAGTCTGAGAAATGACAATATATCATCGTTAGGAAATTTGACAGTTGAAATCAAACATATCTGGTGATGGTAATTACAAAGTTTGCAACGTCTGTTGACACATAATAGCAGAATCAAGGAATCAGCATGCCACTGATGTTTCTGTTGATTTTTTTAATTAATAAAGTTACAATGTTTTGGAGCAGGAAACTAGAGAAGATAAAAAGTGAGAATAAGGGAATTACATTTTTGTTTCAAAAGCTGTATGTTAAAGTGTAATTTAGTTCTGTATTTTATTTCTCACATAAAATATGGCACCACCCCTATTTAATTCCTGAAATTTTCATGGAAGACATTGTCATGAGGGTTTGGAAACGGGAAATAGTAGACACCGCTGATGTATTGTATGGCAGTACAGATAGTACCAACATCCATTATGTGTTCTTTTAAGTATATAATAATTATACGGCAAATGGAACAAATAAACTCACACACCCTCCTCGCCTTTGGTGAAGTTTGAACCGTTGACCTCCTAGGAGGCCAAGGACTCACATACCGCTAGGCCAAAGGCCCTTTGGTAACATCCATTACGTTTCAGTTGATCTATATGGCGATTGCTCTTTATCTAGCTACAATCATAATTCTGATTGGTTGATGACTATAATATTCAACCAGGTACAAGTACGAGAATAATAAAGTAATGGATGCTTCTCCTGATGTAAGCGCACCATTACAGTTTCAACTTTATGGTAATGGTAATACTGGGCTTGACATGCCTTCAAAAGGAACTCAAAATCAACTTCTTGAAAGACAGGTATCTTTTTCTCTACTTTATAGCCTTTACAAAATGTTCTCATTTAGCTTTATTTTGTGTGCCTGTTGGATTATTTTATTTCATCTATCTTTTCTATTATATGGATAGATGTAGGGCTGTAAACGAACCGAACGTTTAGCGAACCGTTCGTGAACCGTCCGGCGGGAAGTTCGTTTATTTAATAAATGAACGAACATGAACAATTCTTTTTGTTCGTTTAGTTAAACGAACGAACATGAACAAGAGTCTCGTTTGTTCATTATGTTCATGAACATTCGTTCATTTACGGTTCGTTTACGTTCGTTCGTTTATATTCGTTCGTTTATATATTAAATTTAATATATAATCTTTTATTTATTTACTTTGAATTCAAATAATATTTATTTATGTTCATTTAACTTGTTCGTTTATGTTCGTTTAGCCCGTTCGTTTACGTTCGTTTACGTTCGTTTAGCATGTTAACGAACGAACATAAACGAACACGAACACACCTTATTTCTAAACGAACGAACACGAGCACAAAGATTTTCATTCGTTTACCGTTCGTGTTAGTTCATTTGTTCGGTTAAGTTAAACGAACAAACATGAACAAGCCTCCGTTCGTGTTCGTTCGATTTGTTTACAGCCCTAGATAGATGTCATAGCCGGAGCCCGGAGGTCATGGTTTTTGCTGATTCCCCTTTCACTTGTCCATGACCCACTGTTGGCAGTTTATGATGTTATTTTTTGCATCACCTCTTTGTCGATGTAATTACTTTTTTGCTCTCTGTGCTGTATCTATGGAATTTATCTGGTATGCTTCTTCCTGTTTACAGAAAGCACATGTTCAGCAGTTTGTGGCTACTGAAGATCAACTCAACAAAGCTGCGGAAGCTAAAAGTGCGTGCCAAAAGCTTTTAAAGCGTCTATCTGGAAGCAGTGATGTAGACTCCTTATTGTCACTCGATGTTGGAGGGACCTCACAGAATATGAGTAGTCTCAGGCAGTTGGAGGTAAAATGAACTAAATGCTTGTTATACCCACAGGACTTGGTACATACAAGTTCATAGAAATCCAGAACATGGTTCAAGATCCCATAATCAAAATTCTTATATACTAAAGTCCTTATTTGAATAAAAGATGGCAGTTTCTTATCCTCTAGCTAGGCAAGTCAAATTTTTGATAATATACCAACGAACCTTGCTACTATCTGTTATTAGCTTATTTCTGTTTGTTCAGCTGGAGGTGTGGGCCAAGGAAAGAGAAGCTGCTGGATTAAAGGCCAGCTTGACCACATTGATGACTGAAGTTCAACGGTTGGACATGTTGTGTAAAGAGAGGAAGGAAGCTGAAGATTCTTTAAAGAAGAAGTGGAAGAAAATTGAAGAGTTTGATGCTCGAAGATTGGAGCTTAACTCGATCTACAATGCTCTTATGAGAGCAAACACGGTAAGACGCCTTCACCATAGTATCTTGCATATAAACGTCTGCACCTCCAAAAAGTTACGAGGCTGTTGTAGCATCAGCAAGTCTCTATCGTTAAACGGTATGTATTCTTAAGTATCAAATCCGCATAAATCCAATGATTCCTTTAGAAAGAAATATGCGGAACAGCAGAAGGTACAACAGATAGTCATGGCTAAGCATGTATCTTCTTGTTCATACTCAAAACCAGAAACCCTAGACGTGCATTCAATAGAGACGCGAGAATAATATTAGTATCTCTGCATTACCAACCAGTACATGAAACAATTGAACACAGAGAACTAAGAAAAAAAAATCTACTTGTTTGCAACAGTATCCTGTTGGAGCCAGAAGTTCCTAAAATGCACGTTAGCATATTAAAGATATATGACTGAATGATAACAAGTGTGAAAGCATACACTATAGGGTTACACCAAGGGTTAGCCTTGAATCATCATCTCTTTTGCTTTATTTATGAATGGTGTCATGAAGGACGTATGAGATGACATATTGCTGGTGATTTTAGTGTCATCAAGCATTACAGTCTAGTTGTGATTTTCTTGATATTGATGGGGTCTTCATTGGTTAATATAATATGAGTTAGGAGGTGCGGAGTGCACGCTCATATAAGCTACCGTGGACCCAAGATCACCATAAAGCGGGGGGGAAGGTGGTCGTGATTCCTTACAAGGTTCCAAGGGGCAGAGGTAGGTTTGCACTTTGGTGCAGTTACCGTGTCTTATCTGTTGGTAGTTATTTGGTAACTGTTCTTATCTTCAAATAACTACTCAACCATCCGAAATTAATGGGCGAATAACTATCTATTTAAGGTGGGTTTTGCAATCTCATTTTAATATGTCGAAAACAGAACAGCATGTGTGTTATTGCTCTCGATTTTGCCTTTAAATTTTGAGTGTGTAGTCGGATTATCCCCCAGTAAATTTTGTGATACTCATAGGCTGAGACAGGGTCAAAATATTACTTACCAACAGTGATTCCATTCACGATCCATATACTATCCAAGTTCTTTACATCGATATCTATTCCCTGTATACCCAGATTGTAACACATACCGAGTGTCTGATATTCACTGATGGCATTTGTTGATAACAAATTAACAAGATGCTTATTTGTTGGAGGAAACTTTAAAAAGTTAAAGGTTTTAGGTTTAGTCAACATAAAACAGGGGAAACTTAGGCACCTTCACGTATGTTGACAGGGAAGCAAAAGATGCATAGAACATAGAGGGACAAACAATTAAGCAGGATCCTCTTCATTATGAAGGATTGGTCTTCTATAAATATGGAGTAATTGATGAGGATGTTAGTCACATGATAAGGGCAGGGTGATTGAATGGCAACAAGCTTGGGGAGTCTTGTGCGATCAACATGTCCAATTGAAGCTGAATGTAAGTTTTATGGCCTCACTGTACGACCTGCTATAATTTACATGGTAGAATGATGACCACCAAATACAATATGCGCACAAAGTAGATACGTAGCAAAATCTGGATGCTTAGATGGACGTGTGGCCATACACTAATAGATAAAATCAGAAATGTGGATAGACGAGAAGGTTGGGATGCTACGGGGTGAGAAGTTGAGGCGACACAATGTGAGGCAGTTTATCCATCTCAAACATATGCATGCAACTTGTACCAAATGAGGTCGTTAGGAGAGGTGGAAGTGGGCTAAGATTGACGTGGGGAAGTAGTGAAGAGGGACTTGGCTAAGTGGTCCATATCAAAGAAGTTGGCCTTAGATGTGCATGGAACTGTGGAAGGACACGATTGATGTCCCTAGAGGATAAACCTCTTTACGTTTGCATTTGAGTTGCAACAGTTTAATAATTTGTTTTGGTTTAACATTTATCTTATACCAATGTAGGAGATAAGTTGTGTTTGTTGTAGCAATTTTATTATTATGCTGTTATTAATCATCTCTAATCTTCATTGTTTATCTTTTTTTAAACTGTAGGATGCTGCTGCATTCTGGAGTCAGCAGCCCTTAGCTGCAAGGGAGCATGCATCAAATACCGTGATTCCAGCATGTACAGTTGTTATTGGCATAGTAAAGAGCGCAAAAGATCTTATTGATAAAGAAGTGTCGGCGTTTTCTCGGAGTCCTGACAATAGCCTTTATATGCTTCCATCAACCCCTCAGGTCGTCAATTCACTATGCTTTTGTCATGAGTGCAAAATATTTGAATATTGTTGTAGATAGCAAATATGACTGTTTGAACCTAGCACCCAGTAAAGCATGACATCTTTAGCTGTCTGTTGATCCTGTTTTGCCAAAAAAGATATACCATTTTACTAGGGCAAGTGCATATATCAATCCAGAAATCGTTTCTGCAATCTCAAAATTTTTAGTGTGGCCATGATTTTTGGTTAATGCATAGAGCTGTGGTGTGCTGGCGGTTCTCGTGACATAGAAACAGTTAGCCATAGTAAAATTTAAACTTCCTGCCAAAAATTTCACTTTATCAAGAATGTTTCCTGCCTTTAGTTGTATGACTACATTCTAAAATTACAGGTGCTATATATATGTGTATGTGTGTGTATTAAGTTACTGCTGAAATTTGGATTACTAGATGCTATCATGTGAAATCCTAGGATTTTTTCTTGGATGCATACAACTTTTTGGTTACATGCTTTCCTGGATCTTATTCAAGCAAGTCTTCTGATGTATGACAATATCTTCACCAGGCACTCTTGGAGTCTATGGGTCTTAATGGTTCTACTGGACCTGAAGCAGTCGCTGTTGCAGAAAAGAATGCCGCCTTACTGACTGCAAGAGCTGGTTCTGGAGATCCATCTGCAATTCCTTCCATATGCCGTGTTTCTGCAGCCCTTCAGTATCATGCAGGTATGCTGGATATGGTCTTTTCTCCAGCATGTATTAATTTCTCTTTACACAGCAAATTCTTCAATATATTTTGAAAACCATAATACAAAATCAATCTTGTTTTGTCTTAAATCACTTAGATAATAATCTTATGGCTAGGCTATCATATCTATAATGTTGTGATCATACATATCCGCACTGTAGACTCGATTTGGTATTTGATAGCAATTTTTGTCACTTCTGAGATGTGGAAGAGTTAGTTTAACCTTCATTGTTTGCTGTACTTATGAAACTGTTCTAATTAGAAGTTCCCAGCGTCTCTAATTTAGGATTATTTGGTTTAACCAGCCAATCTGCCGGCTAATTCGTAACTTGTAATGTCAATCTTGTGGCATGGAAGTGTCCCCATTTTCACATAGAATATATTGGTAATCGTAACAGCCAAATTTCTGTTTGAGTCCTTGATATTCTTGGCAAAAGCATCTATTTTTAGCGTAGCTGTGGATGACTGTATACGGTTCAAGTTGAAGTTTTCCATTCTTCTATACCAATCTTTTTGTATCCATCCAGTAACTGTTCTGTTGTGCACTTAGGCTTTGATGGTTCAGAAGCTAGCTTAGCATCAGTGTTGGAATCAATGGAATTTTGTCTGAAATTGCGTGGTTCCGAGGCTTGTGTATTGGAGGACTTATCAAAGGCCATCAATTTGGTTCATATAAGAAGGGATCTTGTCGAAAGTGGCCATGCATTATTAAATCATGCTTATAATGCTCAAAAAGAATTTAAGAGGTAATATAGTTATTTTCTTTAACAGCATGGGCATCTAGTTCCAACGGATGCGTCCTGCTTTACTAAGCCTATGTATACAGTTTCTTTTTCTACAACAACCTTAGCGATAGAGTGGTTGTATCTTTCAGGAGCACGAGTTACTGTTTAGATCTGGCTTCCGAACAAGAAGAGATAATCATGAAGAAGTGGTTGCCTGAGCTAAGGAATGGAACTGTGAATGCTCAGAGATCTCTGGATGATTGCAAATATGTCAGTGGTTTGGTAAGCATCACTTTTTACATCCAAAAGTCTGTTGTATATCTGTAATCTTTCATATAATCATACCCTCAATGAGAGAGGAAATGCAAAGGAAGTTGCAAAAAGAGCAATATAGAAGACAGATTTCCCAAATTCTACAAATTACTCTTTTTTAAAACTCATAGCTGATTCTGATGCAGCTTGATGAATGGTGGGAACAACCAGCATCGACAGTTGTTGATTGGGTAACCGTGGATGGACAAAACGTTGCTGCTTGGCATAATCATGTGAAGCAACTTCTTGCATATTACGACAAGGAACTTCTGTGACTAGACATTCCTCTAGAAGGTTCCTTCTTAGCCTCTTTGCTTTCCCCGCTTCATCGTAATTCAGGCATCTGTTTGGGACCTTGCAGCTGCTAGTCACCCGTGGACTTACCAGAATGATGACATATATCTTCCAAGGGGAGGTGGCGAGGTGCACATACGAAACTCTGTATAGAAGGCCGTAATCTTTGTATAAAAGTGTTATTTCTAGTCATGGGGTTCTGCATCACCTTTTCTTGCTTTATTTTTGCTATATATATATATGTGTGTGTGTATATATATATATATAAAATAAACATTATATTTGTAAGTTTGGCCTCAAAAGGATGCATATAGTATAGTACAACTGAGTGTTTCATGAAAGCAGCAGGATTTGCATGAAGAATTTGTATCAACCCCCCCCCCTCCTCCCTTTCTTTCTCATGTAACTTGTGGCCACCATAACACTCTTGTGAACCAACAAGGTCCTAACCGCCCGATGGCTCTATCCCCGTTTGCAACCAATATACCACCAACAAATATATGCTTACAAAATCTCTCAGTCCCTTCATGTTGCATGATTCAGCTGTATCTGCATCTTAACATGCAAAACCCATTACTCTTATGCGGGTTTTTTTGTTGGCTTCGAGTATGCATACATCTATATCATCTTTGCGGTTCCAAATAGGCACACTTCAGGCAAAGTAGCACCAAAACCAGTAGGAAGTAAGAAGTATATTAAACCAAACCATATTCTCTTCTCCTTGTTTGCATGATCGACACAATGATGGCAAGCTCTCATTAGTTTCCCCTATAAAAACAACTTGTGGTTCTTCAAATTATGCAAAGAGTGATGCTTGTTTCAAGAATGTGGTCATGGGTTTGTTTGAAGATAGCTTTGATCCTATGTTTGAGTTTGAATGATGTCTCTGAGGCTAGCCAGGATCAGGCTGAGGCTGCACTTGTTGGTACTGTCTACTGTGACCCTTGCTTCCATCAAAATTTCTCCAAGTCTAGCCACTTCATTTCAGGTAGTTTTGTGTACTTATTTTTTTAAGTATATGATATTTATAGGAAATTAACGTAAATAGCCGTTTTACCATGCTCAGTCCACCTTCTAGCCAACTCTCTCCTACACTCAACAAAAAGTCAATACCGCTGCAGTGTCCGCAAGTGGCAGGCTTGTCTTGAAAGTGGGAGTGGCACTTAAGAGTTATTTTAGAAAAGTGCCCCCTCCTCAAGTTGTTGCGTCAAGGGGCGGAGGTATTAACTTTTTGGTGAGTGTGGGAGAGAGTTGGCTAGGAAATAATAATCAATTTTCTCTCAAGTTGCCTCAACTTTTATTTACGTTAATTTCTTACGAAAATACCCCCACATATTTTTCATCGTTGGTGATGTTTGAACCTTTGACCAGCTTTGCTCTACCGGGTACCCTTGAGCCGATAAACCTTTGGTTACTCGTATATTCTTTGTGTACGGAATGTCAAACTCCTGGTTGGTGATGCTTAATGATGTTTTGGATTCTTGGTTTAGGTGCATTGGTTGCGGTGGAATGCGGTGGTGATGGGATGGAGGTGACTGGCGCAAAACCAAGATTCCAGGAGGAAGTGCGAACGGATGAGAAAGGCGAGTTTAGAGTTGAATTGCCTTTCTCGGTCGGTAAACGTGTCGAGGGGTGTTTTGTTAAATCGGTTCGTAGTAGCGAGCCGGATTGTGCGGTGGCCGTCTCCAGAGGTTCGTCCACTATCCGGCTCAAGGTGAAAACATCGGGAAACCGTGTTTTCTCGGCTGGGTCCTTTGCATTCAAGCCTCTAAAACGACCAAAACAATGTCATACGAAACCAAGAAACAAGAATTCGGACGATGAATTCAGCGCTGCAGAGCCATTCCCATCGCCTGCCAGATTTCTGATTCCACCGGTTACTCGCGGAAAACAAACTACAACGGGGTATGATGATTCATCCGATGCAGACGCCCTTGGGCTCCCATTTCAGTCTAATCCATTTCAGCCACCGTTTCAATTCCAGCCACCACCTGATTCAATGTTTACTCCGTATTTCCAGCCACCACCGGCTTCCATATTCGATGCAATGCCATTACAGCCACCACCGGATTCCATGTTCAATCCACTGCCATTCCAGCCATCACCGCCTTCATTCATTCCGCAGCTCCGCACGCCACCACCATCACCAACATGGTTCCCTTCATTGACGTTTCCGCCACTGGAACCACAACCAGATTTCATTCGATCACCACCGCCACCATCAATTCCTCCACCGGCACTGCCAATGCTCCCGCCGTTCCCTCCGTTCCCATTCCAGCCAAGGCCAGGGTATCCTGGAACACCACCAGCTACACCTTCTGCTCTTCTAAAGAAAATATCATCTCCTTGATTAAGCACATCAAACATATCAACGACCATTATTGTATAATTTTCTAGCAACTTTTTAGCTTTAATATCTTCTTAATTTAAAATATAATAATAATTAAATAAATAACATATGTAATTCAGGTGATGTTAAATGAATCCTTTCTACATGGTAATTGAACATCCTGACAGTTTCATACTTAAATACACATCAAAACCCTTATTCTATAATTTAATTTACAGAGAGTTCAAATAATAAGATCGAGTTCCAGTAAAAATGGAAGTTACAGTGAGCTGGGTAAGAAGAGATCTTTATTCTTGGATCAACCTTCATTGAAGAGAAACATTAGATTGACACTAATGAAATATACCAGATCAATTCGTTTATAAAACGTAATTATGGTTTTAGATTAAAAGTGATAGTTCGTCTGTAAGTGTAACTATTACTCATGGATGTCATTGTCAGCTATTAGGAATTATTGATAATACAGTTTTGACACTACTAGATTATATGATTCACTGGGCTCATTTGATCTTTATCATGGTCTTGTGAGTCATTTGTGAAGTATAAGTTGTATAATGTCTATAAAATTTCATAATTTAAGCAGGGACGGACCCATAAATTTTTTCAAACGGTGACACCATTTAACTAAAAAAATGACACTAACAAGATTCGAACTTGGGTCTTGGGTAAAATAAAAGTCTTGCAAACCAACTCTACTAAATAAAACTTGTTCTCATTGTAGTTTCGGAACACATACGTTTGGCACACAACAAATTAATATGGCTGCACATTTAAAAACTTAAATTTTTTTACCATTCAACGGAGGAATAATACGGTGGCATGTGCCACCGTATGCGTCACTATTGGTCCATCCATGATTTTAGGTCCCGTTTGTTTTATAGGATCTGAAATTCAAATCCAATCAATCCTATATTTTGTTTAAGAGATTACATGAATTTGAAATCTCTGGATTTTATTGAAATCTTACAAGCATAGGATTGTAACAATAAATTAATAAAATGATAATCTAATTGTTTTTATAAATTATTTATAAAGAATAAAATTTAGGGTGTGTTTGAGATTGCTTATTTAAACAACCTATGTTTTTTTTTTTTTTGTAAAAGTGCTTATTAACTTATGTGGTATCAAACCGGAGTTTTGTAAAAAATGTTTGGATTAACTTATAACGGTACCAAAAAACAATAAGCTGATAAGTTGTTTTTTAGTGTTTGACAAATTTTGCTTATATATGTAAAATGACTAAAAAGGACAGTCTTCCATATTATTGACTTATTAACTTATTTGATTTTTTAACATGTAAAAATTTAATTTTCATCATTTATAATAATATCTTTGACAAAAATTTATATCAATAAGATTAATAATTAACAAACATTAATAAAACAGGGTTAAAATAGTAAACTGGTAATAAACAATTTTTCATAAGTCAGGAAGGTTTAACTTATCAAAAACTGTTTATTACCGGTTTGGCACCGATATAAGCAGTTTTATTTTTCTTCATCCAAACATTAACATTTAGTTTATCACCGGTACCAGACTGAAATAAGTCAAAAAACAACTAAAATAAGCAATCCCAAACACCCCCTTAATTCGATTTCAAGTTCTATAAACCAAACACGTCAAAGATTCCAAAACCTTACAATTTCAAATCCTTCCATAAAATTCAAAAATAAATTCCGTCAAACGAAATGCACCTTTAGGAAATTATCATGTCCCGGTTATTAATTTTCAAAACAGTCTAAAAGTATTAAAAGGCTGGTTACTAAAATTAGAATAAATTGTGTTTTTCATCCTTGTGGTTTTTGAAAATTGCAGATTTCGTTCTTATGGTTTTGAAATTACGGTTTTTGTTCTTATAGTTTGCAATCCATTTATATTTCCGTCCCTAAGGCTAAACACAACTTTTATGTATGATGAACTAAAATATAAATGAATTATAAACCACAGAGACAAACAATAAATTTAAATTTTAAGGACGGAAATGATAATTAATTATAAACTATGGAGATAAAAATCATGATTTTAGGATCACAGAGATGAAAACAGAAACTTTTAACAAACCACATGAACTAAAAACGTAATTTACTCTTAAAATCATAAAAAATGGATTTACTAGTGTTTAAAATCATTGTAAAACATTTCACGGCAAGACGTTCTATTATCGAAAATGGTTCGAAAAGAAATGTTTCAAAAAACAATGGCCCATGCAGGTTTCGAACCTGCGACCTTCGCGTTATTAGCACGACGCTCTAACCAACTGAGCTAATAGGCCTTGGTTTTTTGTAAGGCCAATCCAAGACTTATGATACATAACAAAATGTAATTTGCTAATGGTAGATTTCTTATTAGAAGAAAATAAATGAAAATGGAGGGAAAGTAATAATATGAACACGCAAATGAATTTAGAGATATTTTGTAGATAAGAAATCACGAAGAACCCTATAAATTATCTTCAAAATTTTGCTCCACCAAATCTGAAATTTGGACCTTGTTACTCTCTTTGATTCTCGATCAATTCCTCCCTTCTTATATCCTCAATTGACAGTTAACGAGTTCCATATATACCTCCTTTAGAAACCGCTCGAAAACGTGTGCTCATGAAATCGGGGGCTGCCAGCGAGTTGGGAAGTCAGCGGTTAAACCCGCTCAAAAATTATTGAGACTTTTTGAGCGGGTTTAACCTGCAAAAAAAGTCGCCGGTAATGGTTGAGTATTTGGGCTGATGTGTATGCGTCCATTTCTTTTGCTGTGGGCTGCAATTTTTGGGCCTTTGGTTGCTTAATGTGTGATCCATTTCTTCAATTAAATTATTGATTTGGGACTTTTTTTTTTCCGGCTTCACTTCAGGTCACGCTACCCGTTCTATATCCTCTCTTATATATTTATTTTATTTATATATTGTTAAATACTTTAATAGACTCTAATTAATATAGAATTCATCATTGAATATACTTAACTTGCAACCCACGAAATAAAAACAAAACCCACAACGAAATGTTTCTTTTTATTCTTTTGATTGTTGTCACAAACATATATCACATTTAGGGGTTGTTTCGTTCGTTTTCTATTAAATCTTGTATGAATAACATTATCTGTAGTGATAAAGTTGTCTTTATAATAACTGATAAATTGTTGTTCGATTGTTATGTTGAATAAACAGTCTGAATGGTGAAAATTATTATTTTACTCCTTGTTTTACATTGAAGAAAAAACAAACTCCTATGATGATCAGAGCAACGATGAATCAAAATAAAACAACAATCAACAAGTTAGTAAAAATTTGTCCTGGAAAGCGTATAATACAAACCTAAATCATAAGAACCCTAAAACAAAAACTCACATCAAGCAAGAAAGGTGAAAAACCCTAAATCAGAAACATTGGTCTGATTTCCACTGTAATCAACAAAAATTCGAGGCTTGATTTCGGGAAACACCCAATACCTAGCAAAAAATTGAGGGGCAGATTTCAGGAACAAAAAGGGATCGTTACAGGTGCAGATCACCAAGGGAGCACAAGAGAGAAGATCGAGCTTGGAGAAATTGAGCAACCAGAGATGAAGAAGGTCGAGGGAGCAGCGATCTCTGGAGGAAAAAGAAATCTGGGTACCTCAGCTAGGGTTCATGAGAGAGACAAGAAACGAGAGTTGACAGATTGAGAGGAAGGGAGAGACTTGAGCAAAACCAGATAGCGGTGAGCAACAATGGGAGTTGATGAGGTGTGCGGCAGTGAGCAACTGAGAGAGAGAGAGAGAGAGAGAGAGAGAGAGAGAGAGAGGTGTGAGGGTGGAACCTGGAAGAAAAGCAAATGAGAGCGACGATGGAAAGTGAGATGGGGATAAAAGAGGGAAAGGGTAAAAGGGAAATGGCTGAGTAAAAGGACGTCATTTTTGTAGTTGTGCGATTCAATCCATGGCTGGTCGAATAAGCCCATACCAAACAACTGGATATGACTATGTGAATAAGTCATATATTTTATATAGTCCATTAAACTCCTACCAAACAACCCCTTAATGGGCTAATATCTAGCCTAAAAACTCATAACTTGAAGGATAAATTTACATCAAAGTATTTAAAATAAAGCATTTATTAAAAGGAAATGAAATCTTTTATTTGGGTTAGTGAGAGAAAAGGGAAATAAGGAAAAGAAAATTAATTTCCATATTGTTAAAATAGAAAGAGATGAAAGAAAATGTGTATTTTTATTAATATACCCTTTTTTATTTTATAAAGGTTTAACTTTTTCTTAAATTATTATTATAAGAATATAAAATATGATATTTTCTCCCTCCAAAAATTACAATTTTCTCTTTGTTTCTAAAACAACTTTTTTATTTATTTATTAAGATACATGATAGATCATATATTACATTTATTTCAAAGATTATTTTATACGAGATATCGTCGTTTTTTCTTCTCTTTTTGTTAATAAGGGATAAAATCACAAAGGATTCATAGTATGTGTTGTGTACATAGTGTCTCAATATTACTCTTGCACTAATATTGGAGCATAACAACTGCCTCGAAGTTCAGAACTTGTCGTAGATACAGTTTCAAGATTTCTTTAAAGACGAAAAGGAAGAGACCGACGTTTATATATAAATTGTTTCCTTTTAAAATTATACTTAAGGGACATTACTAGAAGACTTAAAACCCAAAGTAAACATTTATATATAAACGTCGAAATATTCGAGCCTCTCTATATAGTATACAAAGTATAAGAAATAAGTAGGTGATATTAGGATTTTAAGATGATCTTACAAACTTTCGTAATTTTCAATGGGACCAGGATATTAATCACTGCTGTACTTGGCATTTAGCAAGTAAGTTTTCAAAATTCTATGTTTATTTATGTAATAACAAGTAAGTTTCGAATCTAAGACACTACGCACACGCACACGCACACGCATATAATATGTATATATTTTAACCCAAAAAAGTGCAACAGAGGCTTTGCATGCAATTAAAATAGTGCTTGAATACAAGACCTCAATTCTCATATCCCCACAGAAAGATTTTTATTTGTAAACTTCATACATTATACACCAAATAAGAAGCATGGTCATAAACAAAATTTAACAAGAAAACACCAAGTGTTTAGACTTAGACACGTAAATACCTCTTTCTGAAGTTGTGGCGGTTCTCTCTCTTATTGTTCTGTGTCCTTATTTCCTGGTATCTCAAAATTGACATGAAGTCCCAAGTCTCTGCCTTTGCCTCAAACCCAGATTCCTTGACTTGCTATCGGTGAAAGCTGAGTGCAGAAGCCCCTCAAAATGTCCAAGGAAAACAGTCCATTCCTCTTGAGACATATCTGAGAATGTTACGAAGCTCATGCTCCTAGGCAGTTGCCCGTTCATGCTCCTGTTTCCAGATGAACTGCTAGCAGTGTAACTCACGTCAACTGTTAGCATCGGATTCCTCCAGTTTTGTCCTTCAATGCTACAAGCTTTCATTGATGTGGATAACTTTGAAACAGCCTGTACTTGCATCTTATCACCACCACGTTCATTCAACTTTAAGTAGTCTTCTTCCTCTGTCTCAAAACTCTCCACAGAATCCGAAAGCATGTTTCCACCGTTACCAAAATCTTCCTCGTATTCTATGTCAAACTGGAACACTTCCTTGTTTATCGTCCTTATCGCAGGGGACCAGCTCTCACTTTCCTCCAATAGTTTCCTTGCCTGAATGCATATTGATTCGAGCTCGCTTGGTTCTTCTTCATGGCCATGGAACTCCCTAGTCATCATCTCACCAATCTCAGTCAGGCATAAACCAAAAGAGGCAGCTTCTTTAAGAAAAATGGTGCAAAGAACTAGGACACGAAGACAAGCCTCACGAATCATTGGGAGTTCCATACGTAATAATTCAGAATCATAAACAGGGTCAAGATTGGAAATATACTCAAGTTCATCATAAGAGAAGGGCACTGATGCCTGTGGCCAGTGGATCCACTCAAAGTAAGGGTCCTCCAAGCTCTCAGGAAGGCATAGACCATGGTCGATGGGGACAAGTTCCACCTGGCCAAAGCTCCCTAAACTGTCAAGTTTCTTGACCAAAATATTTCCAGCATGCCTGTCTGTGTTCAAGATACGAATATCTAATATCCCAATCCTGTGGACGGCAGACACAGGAAAGCTTATAGTCCCATGATCACTAGCATCAAAATCATGACGGATATACTGTTGCAGTGATGCAATCTTACAGACGTGCATCATGTTTTGGAGCATGCTTTCACTCACCTCATCGTTGATGTTGAAAATTGAGTGTCTGATCTTCACAAGGGTGGTAGGAGGCACCTTGGCTGATTGGTCATGATCAAGAAGGAAGGCGGCAACTTCTCTGAAGCCTGTCTCCCCAACACGAACAGAAGGTTTCAATCCTGGTTGCCCAAGCACTTTGCCCACAAACCCTTTTGGATTATTGGGGGCAAAAGGTTCCTCATCTGTAGGCTTTACAATAGCAACATTATCACCATCACAATTTCTGAAATAGTAAGCACCCCCAAGCCCACTTGAAATTGGAACTGGTGCAATACCACTCTCTATTGCCTTTGCAATGTCATGCACCAATTGTTTGGTCCTGGAAAATTGCATTGATGGCACTAGTATCTCCACTGATTCACTATGGTCACTATATTCAGTATCTTTACTGACTGGAGAGAGACATGATGTAGATGAGCTTCTGTGAAGAAAGTTCCTTGTAAGAAGGACAGGAGAGCCATTTCTCACGGTGCTGAGATCATTATTCAACACTTGATCCCCTAAAACCAGCAACCACTCCTCTGTAGGTACATTAAAGGTAGTCTGCAATCTCCTTTTTACCGTGTGTGCATCATCATTCCCATCCAACTCTATACCCAGCGCACATCCAGTCTCTGTCTGTACAAAAATACGTCTTTTTCCTGGAAACTTAGCTTCCATCCTTTCCCCGTGGTTGTCCTTCCTGAAGGGAATTTTAAAAGGAGCAGCTGCCATCCCCGATTCCAAGTAGGGGTGAAGATCAGGAGATGTGAAAAGAAGCAGAAAATTTGTAAATCCCAAAGCTGACGGCAGAGGCAGCGCCAACAGAGAGAATTTCTCTCAAGCAGACACCAAGCTCACTCGCCAGCACCAATTGAAAGAAAAATATGTTTTTTCCCTGAGCAAACATATCAGCCCTAGAACCCTTGAAGTTCTCTTTGCAGATCTCACATTGGGATATATTGACAGCAAAGGAAACCAGAGAAGTGATCTCACATTGTTGCACTTGCCAGAACAGAAATTAGTACTGCTACACAATCAAAAAGGTCATTCAGATAGATAATGACAATTTAGAAATATCATCATAAAAAATATCACTTCACTGTACCATCTATTTCCAGAAAGTTGTCCATCTGATAGACCCCATATCTCTCTCATTGGGCTTCAGGTTTCTCAAAGTAGTTTACTCCCACAAAAGAATCATAAAACAACGAACCTGTTCTACTTTGATCTTTTTCAGGAAGTTTCTGTCTGTTTAATTCTTAGTTTTCCGTACGGACCCGTTTAAAATTATTTAAGCAAGATCAATACAAAAGTTGCTAAACAAAGCCAAAAGTTAAGAACACTCAAAACTTAAGTATACAAGATTCATTAATTTTTTGAAATGTGAATGGTGCTCAGTTTTAAAAGGATATTGATGATTGTAATAATTCAAATTCACAAACTTATGATGAACAATATGATCTTTTTCAAAGTTAAAATTGGTGTCTTCATTTTCTATAATAAATGTTAAGAGCACTCAAAACTCATAAATTTTAAACAAGTGCGAAGCAATATCCATTGATAACAAGAGACAGATGATGATCATAAATTCAAATTCAAAACCTTACAATAAACATTAAGTTTGTGTTCAAAAAGGTTCTTTTTCAGTGATTCAATCATCTTATTCTTCATTTTCTCTGATAAACTGTCTACAATTATTAAAGTTAAACTTATGTTGTCCGTTTGATTTGCTTTGGTTACAGAATTTGCCAAACAATTGACATTATCAATTGCGGTTCAGAATAACTCCAACCGTGAGCATAGAAGAGTGACGATTCATTAAATTTTCAACAAATATCGAATCAAAAGTCACCGAAAATAAAAGACCAACGTTGATCATAAATTCAAATTTCTTTAACTTACGATGGATTTTTTTCCAGAACATTTGTGTTCAAAACGATTCTTTTTCAAAGCCTGACCATCGTTTGATTCTTCATTTTCTCTGTAAAAAAACCGTCAAAAATTATGTAAGTGAAAAACATGAAAGTTGCAGAGCGAATTAAGACGATCATTTTCTAAAAGTTAAAAATTCAAAACTTAAGTATGCAAGATTCGCTAAAGTTTCAACAAACACGAATAATATTCACTAATAGTAAGAGACAGATGATGATAAGCATCCAAACTCACAATTCATAAACTTACAACAAACATTATATTAATTTTCAACAAACCGCAACAAATCAAAGGGTAGATCAAACTCACCAAATGATCTCATAAGAAAACACCGCAGACGAATCAAATTTGAATCCACCACCGCCGGCCGATGGAAATCAAGCGAGACGAGTCGTACGGTGGATCTGATCGGCCGCTCGACTCTTAGGCGTCGAGTGTGTGGAGTGTGTGACCTTTCTCCCGCTTTATCAGAGTCTCTTTTTAACTTCCTTGCAAGAGAATCGCAAGGGCATCTTAGTGGAGGCCTGTTTGGGTAAATCCTTCATTGTCTGACCGACTCGATTTATATAAACTGTTTTAACACTAAATAATCATAATTAAGAGATAAATACAGATTTGGTCCCTGTGGTTTGGTTGTTCTCTGAAAGTAGTCCCTAAATTTCGCTTATTGAGGATGAAGACGTTTGCATGATCCGTTGAATTTGACCCCTCAGTGTAACAACCATCTTATTTGTTAATGTTGAGGGGATTTCCATCATTTTACCATTTTCTCTATTTTAACGTTAGTTTTTTTGTCTTTTTATATTTTGTCTTTTTCTCGGTTTATAACATACATATATATTGCACCCAAATCTATTTCCCCTCCTCGCTCGACGAACACCATCCCACCTCCACCTTCTTTGCCCCCCTGCAACCTCGATCTCCGTTCATATCATAGTTTTCCCTCACCGTAACCACAACTTCGGCAAACAGTCCCTCCCTCGATCTCCATCCCACCTCCCTCGATCAATAAGGCTCCTTTCATGTTTTTTGTGTATTACAAATGGAGTTTATTGGGGGGGGGGGGGTGTTGTGCATGTAGAGGGTGTGGTTCACTGGGAGTTGTAGAGGGTACTAGCGGTTGGTTGGGTGGTCATGGCTAGGTGGAGTGAACGGTTTAAGTTGCAGTTTACGAATTTTTGTGTGTGTGTGTGTATATATATATATATATATAGTTGGGTTTCGGTGAAAATAAGAGTTATGATAAGAAAAGTAAGAAGAGGTCTTCGCTATTTGATCAATCCTAATTGAAGAGTTTCACTAGATCAACACTAATGGAAAAACACAATATAAATTCCTTCTAGATATATTTTTGAGCAAAATAAAAATCACAATCATCTATTTTTGTAATCATACACATGCACATAAATGACTACATATGCTAAAAAAATCATTTTTCTAAACACGGACCTCCAAAGATAAAATCCACAACATGAAATTTTACTACAATCACACATATTAATATCTCAAACCACCCTTCGATTACACCCAAACTCTTAAATTATGTAACATACGTATCTATACTCCAAGATGTTGCATACGTTAGCGAACATTGCTTCCAATTGTTGTAAAGGCCGTCTAAGCCTGGCAATTTCATAAGCGATTTATGTGAATTGCGACATATTTCATATCGGTGTGTTTACAATAATATAATGTGGTATCACTTTCTTTGTTAATGATTCTATTAACAACTAATATATATATATATATATATATATAGACAATTTTCAGATCATTAACCAAAGTACTCATGCTACCGCACAACACGCGGTCCCCACACTAGTTAATGTTTAGTAACATATATAGACACTTACTATGTCTGCCATGTGTGTGCATATCAGCTACCGGTATCAACCAATTCAAATTACCCTATACAATCAGATGAGTGTCATGTGATTTACGAATGAAATACATATTTATTAATTTATTTATGTTTCCAGTTATTGCATGTTATATGCTTTACATTTTTTAAAATATCTAACATGCTAAATTTTTTATGTATCATGTGTGGTATGTTTGAAAAACAAATAATTTTAGTATGCATGTGAACATGGACCAAAATGTCGAGTCAGTTCAAAAAGACGACAACCCAAGTTTAGTTTGAGTTGATATACGTTACAAGGGACTATGTAATATATTAGATCGACATATCAGGCGTTCCTAATGATTCTTATAGAGATCTTAGTACATTCCATGTATATGTATGTAAGCACGTTTTATTAACCAAGGAGCTGTTTATCCACCTCTTATCCAGTAAGTACTTACCGGTAAGATCTAATACTGTCATTTAACTTATCGAGTAAGATTTTTTAATCTATTAAAACGACATCATATGCAACATTTTTATCTGATAGACATTTACAGGATAAAAATCGGGACTCTCACTTACTGGGTAAGACTCTTGGTCCTTATCATCACCCTTACCGGGTAAGATTTTCTCAATTTTTATCATGTTTATCCAATAAAATAAAGTGACTGAGTAAGCACTTACCGGGTAAGTGTTTAATAAACAACCCCTAATACCGAATTGGTATAAAAATATCAGACATTATAATTTGTAGTTAATAAAGTACATAAATAAGTACCAAAACTACTGCTTTTAAACATGATTTGCAAGAAAAAAACCAACAAAATGAATTATATTAAATGACAGAATTGTCATTTTCGAGATATAGTATAAAATTTAATGCATTGGGCCCATTAAAAAGGAAAGCATGGTCGGCCCACCACAACTATTATATCATATCGCACGTGAAAAAAATACTACTATCACGTGACCTACTTTAATAATGCTTCTGGTTCCTTTTATACATATACCGGTTGTTTACCCGTACAATACAGCGGGAGCCATGAATTTTAACGATTTTAAAGTTCCATTGGTTTTATAAGATAAGATTTAACGATGATATATGTTACACTTGGTCTTTACATATTAATACAATTTGAATAAATAAGAGTTATGGTTCCAGTTACAGACTATCGATGAAGAAAAGTGTATGACAGTTTAAAATCCAGTATATTTAAAATCCAACATATTTAAACGACTTCACAAATGTGTTCGATTTACACCAAGAGCAAAGAACCAAGAAACTTGAGTTTTAAGATAAACACTCAAAACCAATAAAGAAAACTACAAATTTGACAGACCATAAGCCATGAAAAGATAAAAAAAGATGGGTTTTAAAATGAAATTTCAATTCCTTAATCCTTACCCTATTTCTTGTCCAGAAAGATTAAGGTTGAATTAATACATGTATATATATATTTTTTTTAAAAACCCAAGAACATATTAATTCATAACATATTATACAGTGCAATTTGGACAGCCTAACCTCAAAATATATAGTATATATATAAAAATAAATAACTATAAAAGTATAAATCGTAAATATTAAAAATATTTTTTCACAATATATAATAATAATATAATTAAGTCAAAAACTATCCAATATTGGACTCATTTCGAAGATATTAACGAGACGATTATAATGGTATAACTTGTTAAAATAAAATTTATTTTTTAAACATTTTTAATTGATATACGATTATGTATGTCAATTTGATAAAAGTTTAAAATGAAACATTTAAAAGTAAATGACGTAAAGTAAATTAATTAACTAATTATATGAGTATAAAGTGTAAATTTAAAATTATAATTTTAAAAAAATCGGTTGTGAGAGGGTGAGTGTATGTGAGGGGGTGAGTGTATGTGAGGAGATGAAAGGTGAAAAAATGAAAAAGTGATATAAGGGTAGTATAAATGGTATATTGGTCATTTAATATTTTAAGACTTTAAGACTTTTGCTAAATTTGTTTAATAAGATAGTATAGATAATCCCTACAAGACATGATTTTGATAAATAAAAAATTATATTATTTTAATTGTGATTTTTAATTAATTTTTTTACATGATTTAATAACTATTTTGATATTTCTACAAATACATTATAAAATATTCAGATTACGTGAAGTGTTAACAAGATAAACTACTATTAAATTAAATATAACATTGTATATGTCTTTACACGATAACCACGATCAATAAATATAACATTGTATATGTCTCTATTCAAAACCCTTGAGTTCCAATGTTTTCAAATCAAATATAATGCAATCCACACAATAGCCTTCCAAAAGAGACTTCTCGATCTTGACATAGAGCTTGAATCTATACACGAGAGTAAGACATCTAGAGAGAAACGATGATGAAATACTCGAATAGCACCATTGGAAAATAAAACCTACAACTGCACCGTTGACGAACAAGTAACAAAGCAATTATCAACGATTTCTAACTCTTGATCGTAGCATGAGTGAAGAAGGGAGGATGGGTCCACACCTTTGTCGTTCAAACCCGTCATCACTGCCCCATCGAAGCTACCAAAAGAAAACACAAAACTTTTATTGGAACTAACGAACTCCAAATAGGCGGGACAACGCGAGCTGGAACCTGCAAAAAATGTCATCAATTAAGGCTAAAAATTCATTGACCGACAAGGAACCATCGTTGGTAAGCCACCAAAGCCATTTGTCGTTTTTCAAACGATCTGAAAGAGAAATTACTTGTAAGAATGCACATCTCCTGTAAACCCCCCCTTCAATCTCCCACGAGACTCCCGAGACCAATCCCACATCCCAAACCAACATTTTGTTATTGTTGAATAATTATTACGTTAATTATAATAAAAAAATTATATTGTCATAATTGTAATATATTTTTTTTGTTCAAAATAAACCATTTCAAATATGTAATTTAACACATTTGAGGTTTTTACTCGCTATAAATATATTTTATCTAAATTAACTTATTTACATGTAAATCATCCAAAATTTTCATAACGATATTTACTTTTATGTAAAAACCACAAAGGTTGTAACGTAATGATTGAGATCATTAAAAATGTGATGAAATATTCTATCTGTCCAACATTCAGTTTCAGACGTTCACAATATTTGTCACCGTTTAGTTGTCAAGCTAATTTTTTACAACCATAATTTATCAGTCTCAACGTGATCTTTACAAAAAAAAAAATTCAGAAAAATAAAGAAAATAAAAAAAGGGCAACCCAAAACTAAAAATCAACAACCGAGATAGCAGGATTAGGAGAGGAGATTCATAATAGTTTTAAGAACTAGGGAGCAAGATTCACGCCCACCACCGAGAAGTAGGATACAGCTTAATCCCTGTCAAAGTATTCGGGCATGTCCGACTGCCACCTTCCAACTCGCTCAAATAAATATTATTTCCTCTCTCTCTCTCTCCACCTTCTCCACTTCCTTCATAATTCTAGAGAGAGAAACCTGTGTGTATCTCTGATCTAATGAAAGGGGATGTTGGGGGAAAGATGGTAATCAAGTCCAAATTGAAGTGGGTTGGCTTAGTTGGACTTGTACTCTCTGCTTTATCTCTTTTCACACACTTTCTTCTTGCTAGATACTCCAATACAGATGAGGGCGTTACAGAGTACCAAGCAATCACCATTTTCTCTTGGAGACCAATTTTTGAGAATGCAGATCTTTCCACCACTGTAATTTTACTCATCACCCACTTCCAAGATCTCATCTTTTTGCTCAAACTTCATCTATTTTCACTGAATTTATCATTTCTGTGAATCTTGTGAATAGGGTTTGCTTTTAGTTTTCGTTATTCGTATATTCAATATCTTTTATTCACAGGAAAAGGCTAAAAAAAGGAAATTTTTTTGGTATTCGTTCAAGACTTCAAGTCAATGTTTGCATTTCTCATCTGGAATTTCGATAATCGAGGATTTGTTAATTGTATGATTTAAATTTTGTGCAGAATAAATTGTATAGAAGGCTATGGGGGCCAGTTAGGCGTCTTGAATCTTTACAACCACATGCTAAACCTAGAGAACACTATGCAGGTTTGTTTATTTCTTGAAAAGATTTATACCTTCCTTCTTTTATTACAAATTATGTTCATTTTACGTAATCCGTGATTGAAAAAGTTGTAGAATTCGGTTTGGTTGCATATTCTGTATGGTCTGACTGGTTTTTTTATATAACAAATGCTTTAAAGATTAAAGCTTGAAGTTGTAATTAGTGTTTTGGACAGCAGAATTTGATCTGGTTAAAATCGGAGTTTGATTTGTGGCAAAGTTACTATTCTGCAGCGGTTCCAAGCCATAAATTGTACTTCTGAAATATACCTGTATAGGGCTTCTAGCGTTTTAAGTAGCATAGATCGATGTATTAGAATTGAATACTGGTAAGTTAGTGTAAATATGTTGGATTACATGAGATTAAGTTCCAATGCTCCTGAAAACCACATTACTCTACAGTCTATAAACTATTATCCATTGTTAGGGATGTAAGGATGATCTTGGGTTGGATAATATATATATATATATATATATAGAGAGAGAGAGAGAGAGAGAGAGAGAGAGGTTGGTTCAAATAGAAACCAACCATATGGTACAAACTATGGAAACCGATCTTGACCAATCACATTATTTCTTCACTTTAGGTTCAAATCTAAATTATAAATTAATG